TCTAAATCTTGCAGATTCTTTCTGCATAACTTTTCTAAGCTAGAGTCTCTGCAGGCCATCTGCACAACTAAAATTCTTGTCCATGCTCTCATCATCTCATGTCTCACTTACTACAATATCCTTCTCTCTGGCCTTGACAAATGCAATCTTTTCCCACTGATATCCATTCAGGGTGCTGCTACAAAGATAATTTTCCTAGAGCACGACTTTGACCATATCTCCCCTCTCTGCAACCCTTCACTGGCTTCCCCTTCTCTACTGCATCAAACATAAGCTATCCATCTAGCATCTTTTACATGCTGTAGAGCTGTCAATGTTTGCCTCCAATCAGTCCATGGTGCCAACTTCCATTGCTCAGTTAAAATTTCAAACAAGCACCTTCGTGCTTTCTCCCATGCTGCCCCTCACACTTGGGAGGTGCTTAACACTTTATTATGCGCCCTGGGACCAGCTTCTGGCACTGAGTTAAGAGTTCAGAACATGAAGCCTATCAAGGGCAAAAAACTTATATCTACTGACTGTACCAACAAAGCCCATATTAAGGAAGGTTTATTGCCATATCTACCATTCCATTGAAAACACACGTGTTCAACAACACCAAGCAGAAAGCCTCTATAAACTACAGGGAAATACATAAATATCCTGGGACTTTACCAAACAATCAATTGACTACCCTTCTAAAGTTCACGTAAATCTGTTACCCAAGATGTTATTCATATCTAGTATGTAGATTTATACAAAATAACAGATGTAAGGGGAAGTTTATTATGTAGAATTTGTAATTACTTTTAAATATTATTAAATTGTAAAAATAAAACTACACATTTATGTACATTGAGCACATTATCTAACAAAATTTTACTCGTGTTTTCTGATATAACATACAGTGCTTTCTGAGTCCCATGTAACTATTTTCATTTATCTTGAATACATAAAATTCATTCAAACTGTCACAGCCAGGCAGCCTTGTAATGCTGAGATGCATTTCATGTTGGAAGAACTAAAATTTGGCCTATCCTTTTCTTCATATCTCTGTTTGCAAAGTTGGAATTCTTTACACATATGGAGGGGTAGAGGGTGGGTTTCAAACATAATGCTTTTATAAAGAAAATTTCAGTATTGCATCACAGCTCTATGTAAATCTATAGTGGCAAGCCAGTAGGCCTGCTCTCAACTCAATCAATAGCAAAAGTCCTACTGACTTTAAAGAACTGTTCCCCCTGTACGGTTTACACATGCTGGGCCCAATCTTGAACCAATTACGAAACCAGATTTTAATTTAAAGTTTCAAACTTTTAATCTGTCACATTATGATGGTTTAGTTGTAACAAAATAAAAATACTGAGAGTGTGTTTGTAAGATGATCAGACTTACCAATCAGGGAAACTTCTTTTACCACAGTCTAAATGGAATACAGTAGCAGCTACTCGGCACCTACCTCTGAGTTACTGCTGTGCTTACTCCACCTGCTGGAGAAAGTCTAGACTAACAAGATGAGATGGAATTTCCTTCCTGGGTAGCTGTGGCTGGATTGAACAAGTCTGTGTATCAGCATGTGTATGCAAGTGATATATAAAAAATGTATTATATCATATGGTGAGAATCTGCTTCCCAACATACACAGGTAGTAAACTACAGATACATGTGCTCTGTGAAGGGGACCCAACATTCAGCACCATGCAGTTCCAACAGTACTAGTAACAGGACAAGTACTATGGCAAACAAGGTACATGCCTTTGTCCACTGTGTCGCCTAACCATGGCTCAAAGCAAAGCTAGGTAAGGCAGTGGTAAAGATGCCAAAGTCCTGTCTACACTATTTTTTATATTGTCTTTTTAATTATCTAAAATTTTGCAGAGTTTATATCCAAACAACCATGCCTTCTCCCTATTCCATCTCCCATCCACCCTTGTCCATATACTGCTTCAGACACATTTTCATCAGTGACCTCTTTAATATTATTAAGTAGATTCTTCTCCTTTGTGCAGCCAGGCTCAGGACCCAGGAAGAATCAGCAGGGAGGATCCATCCACCTTCACGTTACTTTTCTTAGGGCCTTCTACCCAAATCATGTATTGATCTGGAGTATCTGACAGCAGCCTGGTGTCCCCCATTGCTTGTCATTAGCATGTGTCTATGAGGAAGTCAGTGCTCCATACATGCCAGGGTTGTTTCTGTACTTAGGACAAGCAGGCCGGCATTATATTCTCAATTAAGGCAAACAGGCCAGGTGGCTCTCTACTACAGTAGATTGTTCTGATGCCAACCTGGTTTTCTTGGCAAGATCATCTGCCAGGCCCTGTTAGCAGGTGCGTTTTTGCAGGCAACTATTTGGATGTCTTTGAATCATGGATAAACCTTTCCTCATCAGTGGATATTTTGCCCAAGAAGGGCCTGCATGACTTTACCTGGTGGTGGTGGTGATGGGGTAGGTAGTGCTGGTGACTATAATGACTATTGCTCAGAGCAGGGGTGGGCAAATTTTTTGGCCTGAGGGCCACATCTGGGTATGGAAATTGTATGGTGGGCCACGAATGCTCATGAAATTGGAGTTGGGGTGCAGGGGGAGGGGGAAGGGCTCCAGCTGGGGGTGTGGGCCTGGGGTGGGGCTGGGGAGTTGGGGGTGCAGGAGGGTGCTCTGGGCTGGGACCGAGGGGTTCAGAGGGCGGGAGGGGGATCAGGGCTGGGGCAGGGGGTTGGGGCACAGGAGGGGGTCAGGGGGCAGGCTCCCGGCGGCGCTTACCTCAAGCAGCTTCCAGAAACAGCGGCATGTCCCCCCCTCTGGCTCCTATAAGGAGGTGCAGCCAGGCAGCTCTGTGCGCTGCCTTGCGCGCAGGCGCCACCCCCTGCAGCTCCCATTGGCTGCAGTTCCCGGCCAATGGGAGCTGCGGGGGTGGCGCTTGGGGTGGGGGCAGCGTGCAGAGCCCCCTGGCTGCCCCTACGCGTAGCAGCCAGAGTGGGGACGTGCCGCTGCTTCCAGGAGCTATGCAGAGTGGGGCAATACCCCGACCCCGCTCCCCGGCTGGAGCTCGAGGGCCAGATTAAAACGTCTGGAGGGCCAGATGTGGCCCCTGGGCCGTAGTTTGCCCACCTCTGGCTCAGAGGCTGCTGTCACTGATGGAAAGAAGAAAGCAGGAGGATAATGCACTGAAATCAAGATCCCTGATGTTTTGTAACCGGTGTGAACACAGCAAAATAATTCTGTCTAGTAGGTTTTCCTACCATGCTCATCACCATACTAGCTGAGTGCCTGTACGAAAGGAGATGAGTCCACTGGAGGGTTATCCTAAGAAAGGTTAGGCTCAAGATTCAACTCATCTTTGCTCCTTTTGTGCCTCTGAGTCCCTCACTCTGTTAAAGTTATCACTGTAATGCCAACCAAATAAAAAACCTTTCAATTGCTCCAATAGCAGAGAACACCAACACAGCTTTGTTTATCTGGGTAGCTACTTGTCACTGACTGACTATCACTAAAAAAAACTGTTGATGGAATTTGTAGGATCAGAGCCAGAATAAGAAAAAGGAGCCACATAAGGAACTAGTACTGCCCATCCATGGGTTCTGGGCCATAGGTCTCCTACATGCAGCATTCAAGCACTGGCAAAATGACATTAGAACTATCTTTAGAAAGAATATGGAAAGTGTGCACAGAAAATCTACCACTCTCCTCTCCACCATGTGCTGTTGAGACATGAGCAAGAGGAGACACAATAACTCTGTGTCCTTGCATCTTATCTGGGAAACACCAGGCTTAGCAAATTAGACTCTTGAACACAGAACACATTCCTATCATGGTGAAGATCTTTTCAAACTTGATAGTTGTCTGTTTGACAGGAAAGACAGTCTAATTGCTGGCAGCTACTTTGTACACACAGTACCTGCATTGAATTAGGTCACATGAGATTAATTTCTGGCATCAGAGTAAAAACATAACTCCGCTCACTGGATATAAATATCCCATTCTGATTAGAAAAATGTCTGCATATACAGCTTATTCTGATGCATTTCTGCCATTGTAATAAAATACCTTAAAAACAGAAGCCAGTAATGTACCAAAAAGGGACTTGATCACATGGGACATGCGCAAATCTAGGATTCTACTGGAATAACATTACATTCTGTCTCCACAAACCCTAGATGATGTGGCTACAATTCTTGTCAAGCAGACTACAGGGCATATGGCAAAGGCGCTTTAAAAAAATACAACTATTAGTTTCAAAACTGAAACACCCTGATGTGGAATTTTCCAAAACCACCAATGAGGAAATAATGGATCCAAGGCACACAAGTACTCTCCTGTTTGGAGATGTTCTACTAGAAAGAAAAACAACTAAAATCTCTGACCAAATCTGTTCGCAAACTTTGACTATTTGAAAGCATTTTAACCTTGAAAGTTGAAAGACAAAATCAATGACCTTCAGTTCACTGAGATCAGCATAAGGATTAATAAATGAGGTACAGCTGGCAATTTACTCATGCTGAGACATTCCCAACCTGTCCCTCTCTCACAGCTCTGTTTTTAGTGCTATTGTTGTCTCTGCATGTTCAGATTTATAAATGAAATTTAAGAATTAAACAAACCAGAAGCTGAAACAATGCACAGGACAGCAGAGCTGAGTCACCCTAAATCTCTGAGACTATTTTTGGTTTTGTCTTTGTTTTTGTGGAACTGAGCTCATTTTAGACTCAATTAAGAACTGTTTACATTCAGAGGCCTCCACATCACTCAGATTAACACAAGAAAACATGCAAGAACCACATTAGACAAATCAACCCAAACCCAGCTCAGTGCTATAAATGCTCTTTAGACTTGGCTTCTTGAATTACAACCAGTTTCAAGTATTTCTCAAGGTGCCTAACACCAAATCTCGTTACTCGGGGAATCAAATCAACTATTTTTCTGAGCCACTCTTAGCTCCCTTAGCACTGAGGATTGCCTCATCCCATCTCATCTTGTTTGTTGCCTGTTGAGTGCACAGGGCTGGTCCCGTCCACCCAAGAGGGACTGCCTCATTGCCCAGGTGTAATGGTGTCATGTTTGAGGCATTTGTTGGCAGTGTATGGTTTAAAGCTGTAATTAAGGGAATTGAAATTACAATTTCCCCATTGGATAGAAGTTAATAGTTTGGAGAAACTTTGGCAATGCTGCTTTCTACATGGACTCTTCATGCTAGTCAGGAAAGGTAAAATATTTTCCTTCGGCACTAAATTTATAAATCCTGTCAGACTCAGACCACTACAATACATTTGCTCTAAGGTTCCTTCACACTTGCATGTCAGTGCAGGTTTCTTGGTATATTGGAAACCTGCACATAAACTCTACATTATAGCATGGACCTTTTAATACATTGAGTGCAGCTGTAGAAATTAATATGTTTAGATCCTTCCACGTAAGCCAAAGTAGTTTGATAAATTTGCACAAACCCAGATATTCTCTGTAGATAAGCTGCTAAAATTAATTCCACTGAGGCTGCTTTTGATATGCTGCATGTAGATGACATGGACTGACTGATAAGAGAAACCCACTTTAGGGAAAATCTCCCTGCATGTAGAGGGATGCCATGTAGCATTGTCCAACTTCTGAGAAGGCTGCTACCTGTGTGGGATGAGTTCTGGGGGAGAGGTGACTTCAGGACTCATAAGCCACGAAGAGCTGTTTTAGATTACTGCTAAGAAATGGATGCAGAAGCAGAGTCACCATCACCCCTGTTTTCTGTTTATTAGACATTTTAGTGCATGTGCTCTCTGCATTGTTCCTGTAACTCTGCTGCAGGTGTCAGCTGAAGGTTCCTTCACTGCATTAACACAAAAGAACTTGTACACAGTCCCCAGCGTGTGAGACAGAGAGCTACTCTGTGAGCCAGTATGCCCTGCAGGAGTGCTCCCCAGTGCTGATGGCAGGGAGGGGCCTGCTCCCTTGGCAGGAGAAGCACACACAGCCCGCTTGACTGATGCCCACAGTGGCAATAATGCCTCGGAGGGGAGCAGGGGAATGGAGCATTTTTTACTGCACAGCCGGTATAATGGCTACATTGTGAGGTCTTGGGGGAAACAGACAGCTGCCTTCCCACCACATCTTAGCCCAAAGGTAGTGTTGTTGCACCTAAAGGCTGAAATGCATCGCTCAGCAAGACAGCATTGGCAAGATAGAAAACACCATGAGGTGAGGGGGAAACACTTCCTGGGGTCCCAGAATCATTCATATGTGACCCAAGCGCCCCACAGAAGGCTGCTCTCTGGAAACATTCTCCCAAGTCCCTGGAGCTTTTATGCTCACAGCCCCAGCTATGTTCTCCATCTGGGGATTTTCAGGAGTCCAGTCCCAGCTCCTTTGTGACATGGCAGTCTGGGCTCAGCGGCAGGAACTGGTTGCAGGGCTGTCTTTCTGTCCCACTTCCCCACTGGCACTGCTTCTAATTTTAGGATTTTCAGCTGGTCCCATCAGTGCTGCTGAATCAGAAAGAGTCCCGTGTGGGGAGCAACTGACAATAGTCAGGGAGGGAGGTGTGGTGCTGCTCTCTGCAGGGGTCCCATGGGCTAAATGGGCAATGACGACCATGGCACTCTCAGCACCAGTCAGTCTGTTTGTGAGCTCCCTGAATAGGGAGCCAAGCCACTGCTCCCTGCCCTCATAAGCATATTGATGGCAGGGGCTAGCAGTGTGTTATTTCCTCCTGCAAGGGAGGGAGATAGGGCTGGCCTGGGAGCTGCCAAGTCCCCTTAGCATGTGGACTAGAGGACTCAAGCCCCAAGCAGACACTTTCTTTGCTTGTGCATAAAGTCTGCTCTGCTCAGTGTGTTGCCTGACAAGGAGAGTTGGGAGTGGGGCAGGGATCACTGATCCCTGTTTTCTACCAAGAGCAATGGGAGGCTGCAGGCAAGACTGTCCTTGCAGATCTGGTTTTGGAGCCTGGCAAGGATTTGAAGAGACCCCTGTAACCGGTAAGGGTAGGAAGGCTGGTTTTAAGACCTGGGTTCAAGCCCTGGCTGTGCCACAGACTCCCTGTGTAACCCAACAAGCCACAACTGAGGGGTCAGGTTGCTAAGCAATCCCCTGACTGAATGAGGAAGGCCAGCTGAGGAGGAAGGAGCTGGCTTGGAGCTATACAGCCAGGAAATTGGCAGCAGAAAGGCGGCTGCAGGGAAGGAGTTTGCAGTCACTCCCTGGGAGAAGGGAGGTGTGTCTGGGGCTGAGGCAAGTACCCTACAGTTACTCAGTGGGAGGGGGGAGTTTGGGCTGGCAAACGCAGAGAGGTAGGCAAGGCTCATGGAAAAAGCCACAAGGTATGAGGTAGGTCAGACTGGCTGCCAATGAGAGGGCCCCTGAGCTGGGAACCAGAGTAGAGGGAGGGTCCGGGTCCCCCCACCAGCCACTGGAGGAGTGGCATGGTTTCAGCAGTAAAGGGAAGACTGCCATTTCATATGGAGGAACTTTGATACACACCCCCTGGAAGGGGGAAAACACATGGTGACTCGACTGGAGGGCCAAGTCATGAAAAGGGAGCCCCTTGAGTGGCAGACAGCAAGAGGACAATGGGAGAGACACTGCTGGAGGAGGGCATAATGCCTGGCCAGAGCTAATCCCCAGGACGGCCAAAAGGAAGCATCACTAGTGGTCAGTGCCCCCCTGGTGACACGCCCATATAAGTACCTGACTCGAAGGAGAGGTAACCTGTCAAGGAGCGTGACACCTCACGTGCATCGGCTGTCTGTGTTACTCCGCTGTAATTCGGACTCCTGAACCTCACATGGATGGTATTTTCCTAAAACATAACCTTGTCTTATTGGTCAGCCCAGCAAGCTAAGAGCACAGTCACCAAATAAACATGCTGTCAGGTACAATCACTTCTTCTGACTAATCTACTTGTATTGGAGGTGCCTGAACTGACTTGCCCGCAGCACAGTACCTCCTTGGTAATGATTCATGGCAAGACTAACATGGAACTCAAGAGGGCATCTCTGTGGCCCCATTAGGTAACATTGCTACTCACAGCAAGTTGCCTCATTTGAACATTAACATGCAATGCAGAACCTGACCCTGCGGGACACACAGAGATTTAATGGTAACACTAGACAATAATCTAGTTCATGTGGCATGTCTGGGAGGTGAAATTCTGGGTTCCCTCTAATACCAGACATGTTGCAGACCTAGCACTCTTCAATAACTCGTGGCCTGCCCTGCAAGGAACACTGCCCCCTGTGGCCACAGCTCCATCGTGATGACTGTCACAGTTCTGAAACAGAGGCAGGATTTGGGTCCTGGGTGGGTTTTCAGGTGTTGGCCGCACAGTCAGGGGAGGTGGCAGGAGGCTCGTCTGAAGGACAGCGATTTGGAGATACATTTTCATATTTGGGTTCCTCCTCAACAACAGCCTGTTCATTTGTTTCTAGGCTTCTGGCCTCTTCAAGACTTTCACTCTTCTTGGGGTCCCCTGTAACCCCATCTTCTCCTTCCTGAGCCACTAGTCTTTCAAATATAGGAGATGTGGGGATGAGAGGTTCTCTCTTCACGGGAACATCTATCTGGTGTCTATCTGTAAGGAGCGCAGGTGACTCACAGGGCTCCAGACCTGTTGTCTTGGAGCTGTCCTTGTGTGGAGGGGCTGGCTGGGGGAACAGGTCTCTGGAGTCCCTCTCTGGGCCCAGGGCCCTGCGGGGAGGTTTCTGGATGCTCTCAGTACTTTTCCTCACCATGGGCTCCTCCCTGAAAGCCCTTTTTACTCTCTGGAAGCTACCCAAACGTTTCAGTACAGCCTGAACTGTCCCCTCTCTGCTTCCATTGGCACTCTCATTGGGCTTGGAGGATTTCCCTGCTGTCCCCACAGTCACGTAAATGGTAGTGACATTCTGCTCCTTCCCCCTAACATCCAAAGTGTTTGGATTCAAAGCTGCCTCAAGGGCCTCGACTCTCTGGGCCACATGACTGCCACTGGACACTGCCATCCTGTGGCCTCCTGGGGTACCCCTGGGGGAGGGCCGGTGGCTATCCTCAGCCTCGGAGATGGGCTCTGGGTTTTCGTAACAGTCACCTGGCGACCCACCCTGCTGGGGCCCCTCCTCTGGGTCAGCATGGTGCTGGTGAGAGGCAAGTTTGGTGAGACCCCAGGGGGCTTTGGGCTTCCGAGTGGTATTTGGTGTCTCCATGGAACCTCTTTGACACTGAGGGCCAAATTTAGTTCCTTCTGCAAAAGACACCGAGGGCCTCTTGGCTCTGGCAATGCTGGACGTGCGGGGGATGGTGAAAGGCTGGGAGACGTCCTCGGAGTTAAATGCTGATGCGTCAGGAAATTCATGACACTTGGAGCTGCCTTCCTGAAGTTCAAAGCCTGCCACTGCAGGGACATCTGGAGAAGAAGGAAGGGAAGGGGGGTTAGGCTGCTTCTCCTTTGGCTACACAGGCTTCCAAGAACTAAGTCACCAGCACACCGACAGGCTTCTCCTTAGTTCAGGGCTCAAGGTTAGAGCATGTGGCCTTTATCCTCTTCACCATGACTGAGGGCTTCTAGGGACTAGAGTATCCAGAACTGGCACCATTTGGGTTGCACTGCCTTCTTTACTCCCAGACTTGATTCTAGATTTATGAGAGTGGATGGTGGGTAAAGGTGCTGAGTTAGGTTTTTACACACTGATGCCACAGGGAGCCCGGGGCAAGGGGGGATGGGGGTGTCTTAACTGGGGCAGCCATGGAAGCACAAACAGCTGCAATGAGTTCTGAACTTATTTGAGGGAGTGAGTTGTAAAATCAGCACTTTTCTGAGGACATGTAGCTCTGGGACATACCATAGCATATTTCCATTTCACACTAAACTGATGGGAAGGCCAGAAACAGAGCTCAGCCTCCCTGTACGGAAAGGAAAATAAGGAACTAAAAATAATTGGTGCCTGTGTGTAACCCAAGTCCCTTGCAAATCCCTCCCCCAAGTACACATGGAATGAAATTCACCCTGAGCAAAGGGCCTCTGTCCCACTGGGAGGGAGAGTTGAAAATGAGCCTTAAGGAGATTGTGAAGCAACTGGGCAGCGTTACCTTCTCTGGCAGGGACACAGTAGGCTGGGCCCTCATCGTCCGTGTCAAAGGAGGAGGAGAAGGAGCTGTCTGAGGCCCAGGCAGCAGAAGGCGGTTCAATGAAGCTGGGATTGAAGGGAATCTCTGTGTCATGGTGGGAGACTGGAAGGGAAGCAAGACTATGAGGAAGAAGCAATCCAGCTCTCAGGATCACATGCTGGTCTACATGTGTTCTAGTCTGTACTGTACCAGGGATGTTCCATGGGGCAGTCACCTGGTATCTGGCTGGCACAGCTTGCTCGTTTGCAATGGCACTTAGAATACAAATGGAAAGAGATATAGTTCCTACCCTAAAGAACTCTGAAGACACAGACAAAGCAGGGCATAATAAAGAGTGCATCAATCAGGGATCAGTGCTAATAATCCTGTTCTTACCTGTGACTCGGGGGAGTTTGTAGCCACTCAGTGAGAGGCAAGGTAACATGGAGCTGAGATTTGCCAGCACCCCCTGCACATGATGTTTCATTCTGGAGACCGCATCACCATCAGCAACAGCCATCCTTGGAAAGAAAGAACAGAGATGTGTGGCAGAGATGACTGGCTTTCCAATTAAACAAAGCTCAAAGTTGGAATCAGTTTGAGAGAAGCCTGCACATGTGGCAGCCCCATTTCTGACCAAGTCCTGCAACCTATCAGCTAATGCAGTTTGAGTCATGGGCTGATTTATCCTGTATACAGAGCTACATGAGTTAAAAAAGTAAAAGTAAAATGAAGTAACATCAAATTTTGAAGTAATTCCCTGTCAGGCAACAGAACCCAAGGAAGATGCTAATGACTCTTTATTTGTCTTGAGGCTAATTTTAACTGTCCAGAAAAGGTTCCTCTTTGCTTCTAGGGCCTTTCAGAAGCAATGGGCCCAAGGCAGGTGGCTCTTCTCTTTGCCGCTACATTTCTACAGCACCTGACACTTTTCAGTAATACCTGTCTCTGGCATCCAACGGGCTGGTTCCACAGCAACAGCAACAGCAGGTGACACAGAGTAATAGGAGGAGTAATGGGATGAGAATGCCAGCTATCAGGGCTCCCTGGTGCTTTGATCCTGCATGGAGACACAGTGTGGAACACAGTGAAATTCTTACTTGGCTGGCAAGTTCAGAGCACTGGGAAAGCCATCCTGGAGGAAGGATCTCTGATCTGGGGGCCTGCCGCAGTGGTCTCAGAATGTACTAAACAGATCCAGGCCTGTCCAAATCGTCCTATTCATACCGCTCCACATCGTAAGGACAGTTAGGGAACTCAGCCCAGACCCAGCTCGCAGAACCAGCACATCTTTTGGTATCTGCAGAGAGACAGTCTCTGAGTGAGCCCCAGAGCTCTCACTCCTCATCCAGGAAGAGGCGGGAGCTCAGGACAGGCTAAGATGTGCTCAGTGCTGTTTGCTCCCGTATGCTCTTTCAGCATAACACTGATGATACCACATTATAGGAGAGTGTATTTCCACCAGGCACAGCCCAGTTAGCAAAGCCATAAGCGAGATGGGGTGCTGATCTCACTACTCCCAACCAGGAATGTATCTGTACATTAAAGTCAAGTGGACTCTTGTCCAGACACATTTTCTATGCTAAAGAGTCTTTGACTTACTATGGCACATTCAGGAACATAAGGAGTTGCTCTCAAAGATCAGACCTTGGGCCATCTATTCCAATTGTTTGCCTTCAGAAGAGGCCAGTGCGAGATGCTTCAGATGAAAGTGAAAGTCCTCCTACTGGCACTAACCAATGTGGCCAGAATCACCCTTCCTAAGTCTCCTATTCAATTTCAAACTTTCCCCTGCAGTATTTTATTCAGATGCATTTCCACATTTTTTAGAACCTGGGTCCACACGGGGATGATAAAGTGAGTGTGAGTGCTTCTCCATAGTGCAATTATGTCCTTCAATCAACTGCTACAAACCAAGCAATTCTTCATCTACCTACAAACAAATGACTTTACAATCAAGGCTGGATCCATCTCTCTGCTGTAATTTCATGTGACAGACTCAGAGAAACACCTTCACTCTAAACATAGTTAACCATTTTAGTTCCACTCTGACATACTCCTGATGAATGCTATGGATGAAAATATCACCCTGTGCTACCAGATGGGAACAAGGACACAGGGACAGAAATATCAAAGGCCCAGAGCAAGATTAAAGGCTTGTGAGGCACAATGAGCTTCAAACATGTGGGCTCTGGTTTTTTGACTAACTTTGAATCCCAGTCCAACCTGTTGTGGTACTTGAATCTGGCATGATAGCTCCACTCAGCTACACAGGCTTGGACAGTGCAGAGGGGTTACAATAAGGAAACCAAAGCCACAGAAATGAGATAGGAAAGAGCTCATTTCCCTGATCTACAGAGACAGAGGAGAAGAGGAAAGGGAGTTTCCTGGAGGCTCGTGCTGCATGGCAGTAGAGGTACTGCATGACACTGTGCAGAGCATCTTTGCTGGGAACCAGCCTGCGTTCTGGAGCCCAGAGGGCACCTTGGCTTCCACAGCAACCTTTGGTGTCTTGCATGGTTTATATTGGGGGAGAAGGAACCAATTCTCTGCTCTGGGCAGGAGAAAAGCTGGTTAATAGGGAATGAATGAAAAGGTGCAGTGCAGGATATCACTTACTGAGCACACAGTCCCCAGAGTGTGGGTGGCAGGGGCCCCTTGGACATCGGCAGGGGGAAGAACAGTTCGCTCCAAAAAAACCCTCTGGGCAGGTCTCATTGCAGCTGAGGGGAGAGACAGAAAGAAATGAAAAATGCTTGTTTGGAAACATCCCAGCCTCTGCTCACTGCAGCTCCCCTCGCTTTTACCTGGTGCCCCAATAGCCAGCCTGGCAGATACACTCCCCAGACACTGGATCACAGCTCCCATTAACACAGTCTGGACAGGTGAACCGGCATCCATCTCCAAATGTTCCAGCAGGGCAGGGTGCGTCACAGCTGCAAAGAGAGGGGAGAATCTGGCTGCTGGCTCATGGGAGAGAGGCTGGCAATGCAGAGGAGCTGTAGCTTAGTCTGAGGGTCAGCAGCTCTGTCACGGTGTCACAGTGCAGAGCCTGCTTTACATTTGCACTGATATTAACGTTGTTCCACAGGGCCCTGACTTGTTCCTAATCCTACTTGAGGATGGGAACAGTGATCTGGTGGTTAGGGCACTAGAGTAGGACCCAGGAGTTCTGGGTTCTGTTCCTGGTTCTGACAGACTCCATGAGTGACTGTGGGAAAGACATTTAGCCCTTCTGTAAAATAGGGATAATCTTCCCTAACTCACCGAGAGGGAGGCTCAGATACTGAAGATACTACAGGAAAGGGACCCATAGACAAGCCTGTAAATATATATGGCTGATTGTGTTGTAGAGTCCTGCTGGGGATGCACAGGGCGTCTCTGACTTCAACAAGACAAGTATTGAATAGAGGTTGGTTGCTGTTGATTTTCACTGTTCTCTGGTATCACATCTGACGCCAGGATTTCTGCAGACAGCACGGAGAGAGACATCCCAGCGAGTCTGAACACTGTCTTGCTCTGCACACATTAGGCCAGAAGGGAGGCTGTGCCACTGAACAGCTTGCTGGGTAATCTCCAACCAGAATCCCTAGCTCAAGTGTCCGACAGCTGTCCGTCTATCCATGGATAATCATCACACAGTGTCTAAGCTACCGTACTGTGAATGAAGCTTTCAGACAAATATTTTCTACTTTACGCTCAAGGAAACTTGAGGACAGAGGATGTCTGCTACAACAGAGAATTGAGCTCCACAAGGTAAACATCACACAGGAAAAGAGGGGTCCGTACCTGGGTCCTGTCTTGCCAGAGTCACAGTTCAAGCAAGCCCCCGTCTCTGGATGACAGGTCTCCCCTTTTCGGCAGCTGGGACACATCTGTGCACAGTTCTCCCCATGGTATCCAGGCGTGCACAGCTTCTTACAGAGGGTACCGTTCCAGCCAGAGTCACATGCCAGGCAGAACCCATCCACAGGAGAGCAGGGCTGGCTCCGCTTGCAGTGCCCACAGCTGTACAGTCAGAGGTGTAAGGAACAATCAGCATCAGAGCTGGGGGAACAGCGGCCCCCACATCCCAAATCAAAAGAAATCGGGCAGAGAAACAGAACATGCTCCCACCAGCAACAGCCCTGGGAACAAAGCAATCTGCTCCCAAGAGCTCAGGTCACTGACAGCCTGCACAGCCCTCCCATACCCCGGCCACAGTGCTTCCACACACACAGCAGTATGGCAGAGGCATCAGTCCCCTTCTCTGAGACAGGTGTCCACTGCTGGCATTCCTCAGAGGTTTCCCTCTGTACAGCTGTGATATAGTCCCCGCTGAGCCTAAGTGACAATGGAGGCAGTTGCACCCTATGGAAACATCCTACAGAGTTTAATAGGAATGATAACATCCCATGAGGTCTTACTGGAATTTAACAGGGTTTTGAAGATATTACTCAAAAAACCTATAGAATGTAACGGAGAAAGAGATCCTCTCTGTAGGCCCTGAATCAGCCTACAGAAGAGCTATCTATAGTTTTCTACTAAAGTCTACAAGACTTTCCCATAGGGGGCAGTCCTGTGCCCCATTCCTCAGCTGATCACGGCCAGGCCTCCCTGGCCACTGGCTCAGGAAAGGCTCTCCCTCACCAGCCAGGAGACCAGCTCACAAAATAATATCTCCCCACACCCCTCCCAGAGTATGAATAGGGCAGCCAATCCAAACCCTAGCTGCCCCTTTCCTCTCAGTCCCTTTATATGCAACAGCTGCAGCCTACAGTCTAACAAGCATCAGCTGCCCACTCCCTGAACTCCTCCCAGTCTGGTCCTAGACTCTTGCATACCCAGCAGGGAACACACGCTTCTGGGCATTGGCACTCCCTAGGCAGCCCAGATTTGTGCAGTCACCTTTGGGCACTATACCCTATCACAAGCACGCAGAGTGATATTCCTCTTACCTGTATCTGCACTGAGATCCGTAATAACCGACAGGACAGGGATCCCCACAGCTCCTGCCCTGATAGCCAGGGTTGCAGCTGCAATGGCCATCAAGAGGGTTGCAGTTCCCATGCAGGCAGTCACAATGATGTTGGCACAATGGCCCCCAAAACCCAGCCCTGCACTCACACCTGCCTGAGTCTTGGGCACAGGGTGAGAGGTGGCAGTTGCATCTCAAGCTGCATCTCCTGCCCCACCAGCCCTGGGTGCAGACGCACTGCCCTGAGACAGGGTCACAGTGGGAGCCGGCCACCCTGCACAGACACTGCTTCTTGCAGTTCGGTCCCCACCAGCCTGGCTCACAGTGGCAGGCTCCAGTGCGGGTGTTGCAGTGGCCATGAGGCCCACACTGGCATGGGAACTCGCAGAGCACTCCCCAGCGGTTGGCATTGCAAGTGCACTGGCCGCTCACAGGGTCACACTTCCCATTGGGGTGGCATGAACAGCTCTTCTTGCAGTCCGAGCCCCAGTACTGGTCAGGGCAGCCTACAAAGGGAACAAGACAGATAACAGATCGCAACAGGCAGGAGTACAGGAGTCTCTGTGCCACAGGGAGGAGAGCAATCTGGCAATGGGGTTGGTATTCTTTCCCTAGGGGGCGTTGTAAGCCATGGAAGGGCACAGGCTGGTAGACCCTTGTAGGTCCTATGCTGCAGGGAGACTAAGGAGTGGGGACTACCAAAGAGACACCCCACACCCGACTGGGAGGAGACATCAGAGCAGCATGCCCCAAACACTGGCTCTGCTGTGCTGTAACCTGTGGATGTAACTGCTTGTGCTCATGGATGGGCCAGGGGCTGCTGGGCACTTGGAGCACTTAACTGTGACCATGTGCCATCATGCTGAGACCTCTGGCCTGGGCTCACCTCCTGGGACCCAGCCAACATCCTGGTGGGTGCAGTGAGCACTGTGTCACAGATGGAGTCTCTGGGATCACAGGGGATTCTCTGTATGTCTAAGGGTGAGAGTCTGCCCTGCCCCCTCCATGCCCATACTCACGGGAGTTGCAGTTGGCTCCAAAGAAACCAGGTTTGCAGAGGCAGATCCCAGGTCTCACACACACTTCATCCACCTTGCAAGCATCCTCCCCTTCACATAGCGCTGTCAACAGCAGGACAAGCTAATCAGGAGCCAGGCTCCCCCAGCACCAGGCCGCTGGCAGGCACATAGCCAGGGAGAGGAAGTGCAGATAGGCTGAGCACCAGCAGCTTCTCCAGAGCCGCCAGGGGCCAAGGCCCTTTGGCCTCCAGCTCCTTGTCCCCGTGGATTTGGATCAGTGACCTAGCCTGTCAGTGACTCCATTTACACATCAGCACCCCCATGTGCCCTCATGTGTGGGCTCCAGAGAGAGGTGGGGGATTCTGCTCCAAGCCCTGTGGTGCCTGGGACACAATCTGCTCCAACTGGCCCCAGCCTTCAGCCAGGAAGTTGAGACTGAGGCTAGAAATGGCCAATACCTAGAATACCTCGAGACTGAGGCTAGAAATAACCTACAGGTGATGGCTTCTGGGAGGCTTTTTGAGGAGAAATGGCTGCCTCACATCCTATGGAGTGAACAGCTCATGCAGCACTTAGATGCTGGGATGATGGGCTCTGTAGCAAATCCTGAGGGGAGGGTCATTTGAGCAAGGGTTAAAGGGATGGGGGAGGAAAGCAGCATGGCTCCCCTTTTCTGTGAAGAGCAAATGGGAGGTTCCCCCCACCTCTCCCCAGCTTGGGAAAGCAGCTCTCCCACCGGCATGGCTGGTGCTCTGAGTGCTCCCCTCCTACTTCAGCCTACATTAACCCTGCACATGGGCGCAGCTGGACAGATGCGATAAAGCACAAAGCTGCACTTCACCAGAGGCCTTAAAGCTCTGCAACCCTTGCCTTGGTTTGCATCATGCCCCAGCAGAATATTCTGCACCTGAAATGAACACCCTTCAGCCTCTAGGGAAGAAGCAGGAAGTGGAAATGAGGTATAGCCAGGGGGCCACAAATGGCTCCCCCATCCCCCAAAAGCTCCTGTAGATAGCTCAGTGCAGCCAGGGCATAACTTTAGTACTATGCATAAGGTTTAAGCCCCCCTCACCCTCACTTTCCCACAATATCATTGGACTCTGAGCAACAAAGAACTGAGATACAGGAAATGCACACCAAACAGCCTGAAACGGGCTGGTCAAAATGACAAAGGCATGAGATGTAAAGCCACTGATGACTCACCAGCTGTGCATTCCCTGCCTTCCTGTTTCCAACCTGGGCAGCATACCAGACCTGCAGAGAGGCTGGGGAGGGGAGAGATCCATTAGCATAGGAGCAGGGTGCTGGGCAGCAAGGGCTCATGAAAGGGGCAATATACTGGGGTGGAGATAACGCTCCTATGTTTGCATTAAAGCCCATGTTATCTAGGAGGAACTAAGGATCAGCCAGAAGCACCTCTCCCAAGGTTCAGCCTGGAACATGCTGAAGGATGGGCATGCTTTTGGAGGCATTGCCCTGGGAAGGACACCAGAGGAACGGGAGGAAGTCATGGGCAGGCTGCAGGACTAAGGCTGTCCTGACTGGTTCTGTCAGTACTGTCTCCCTGTGCTTAAGGAGACACCCAGTGTTTGCAGCTTATTTTTATGAGTCATGCAAGTCTTTAGATTCTTTCACCTGCTGGTAGCAGCCAGTTGCATAGGGGCCACCAAGTAATAAAAAGAACAGGAGTACTTGTGGCACCTTAGAGACTAACAAATTTATTTGAGCATAAGCTTTCGTGGGCTACAGCCCACTTCTTCGGATGCACAGAATGGAACATATATTGAGGGGATATATATACACATACAGAGAGCATGAAAAGGTGGGAGTTGTCTTACCAACTCTGAGAGGCCAATTAAATAAGAGAAAAAAAACTTTTGAAGTGATAATCAAGATAGCCCAGTACAGATAGTTTGATAAGAAGTGTGAGAATACTTACAAGGGGAGATAGATTCAATGTTTGTAATGGCTCAGCCATTCCCAGTCTCTATCTATCTCCCCATGTAAGTATTCTCACACTTCTTATCGAACTGTCTGTACTGGGCTATCTTGATTATCACTTCAAAAGTTTTTTTTCTCTTACTTAATTGGCCTCTCAGAGTTGGTAAGACAACTCCCACCTTTTCATGCTCTCTGTATGTGTGTGTATATATATCTCCTCAATATATGTTCCATTCTGTGCATCCGAAGAAGTGGACTGTAGCCCACGAAAGCTTATGCTCAAATAAATTTGTTAGTCTCTAAGGTGCCACAAGTACTCCTGTTCTTTTTGCGGATACAGACTAACACGGCTGCTACTCTGAAACAAGTAATAAAAGACTCTCCTAGACAATACCACGATGGTCGAGAAAGAGGGAACCAGGGCCAGAAGGCAGGGACTACAGGAGGCTTCTGCAGGTAGGCTCCTACTGAGTTCACAGAACAGAGCAATCCCAGGCAAAGAAATCAGGCAGCTCTAGGCCCTTTTTGTTTGATGGATAATATCTAACTCATAGTATGTAACAGAGAGTGGTGTTAGGGAGCTGGATTTGCCTCAGTTCCACAGACTCATGAATACTGTGATACCATAAGGTTAGTTTTATATAGTTACAGTTTAAAACTCTAAAAACCATGGAAGTACTCTGCCTTCTCACCACATGGTCGACTGGTGCTTTCTGGGCTTTAATTGCTGTCTGTGTTAGATAGTGAACTCCTTGGGACAGGGACTGTCTCACTCTCTCTGTGCAGCACTAAGCATATTGACGCCACCTGAGATATAACAGACTAAAAACTAAACCTACCCACACATTCAGCTATCTCTGTGCTATTAAACAAACCCACACCTCTGCCTGCATCATCCCTCTCACACACCAACGGATTTATAACTGCTATTAAATACACACTACTCTGCACATGTGATCCCTCTCTCACACACACACAGACAGAGCTACCCCTGTGTTATTAAACAAACACGTGTCTCTGCTTGTGTGATCCTCTCTCACACAGAGCTATCCCTGTTATTAAACAAACAGTCCTCTGCCTGTGTGATCCCTGTCTCTCTCACACACACACAGAGCTATTACTGTGTCATTCACCAAACACACATTTCTATGTGATCCCCTCACCGCACACACAGCTATCTCTGTGCTATTAAACAAGAATATTTTCCTTGTGCAGTTACACTCTCTTGCAGAGATCTCTATGCTGCCACACACCCATTCCCTTTTATCCCTGGGCCATACAGTTCCAGTTCAGGGAGCTTATTCTATTGAGTATGTTAGTCAAAAGATGACAGTGAATTAATCTCTGCTGCAGATTTATTTCTTCTCGCCCTGTTGTGGGAAGGGAGCGCTGAGATGGGTATGGAGCTAAAGGAGAAGGTGGGCAAAGAAAGGTATCGGGCACCTACCTGGTAGCCTTGCAAACATTCTTCCCATTAGGGTCCAGCTCTTGAGCAGAGCTCCCAATCCATGGCCAGAAATGGAGACAAAAGAGTAACAACAGCAGCTGCGCCATCTCGGTCTGGATACTGGGTGCTGCTGGCCACAAGGGGCTTCCAAGCCAAGGCGTGGGCTGTATGCAGCTTTCTTGTCCGTTGGTTGGTTCTGTCTGTCTGTCTTCCTCTCAGTTTCTGCCTCACCCTCTCTTTGGCCTCAAGTTTCCTCCTTGCCTTTTCCTGAGGAAATGCAGGAGGCGAAAAAATCCCTCACATCCAAGGAGCCAGAAGGGGTGGGAAGGGAAGTGGGGGCAGGGCAAACGCTATATCCCACCGCTCACTGCAGGGTAGAAACAGGGGAGCCCTTAGAGCCAGCGTCATGGTGAGGAAAGTTACTTGCTGCTGGCAAAGCCCAATAGCTGCCACAGCAGCAATAAGAGGGACAAAGCCAAGCTCCCCACCCCCCACCCCCAAACACCATCTCAGCCTGCCCCCCATCCACTCCACCGAGTATCATGTTCCCTACCCCCATCTCCTCACATCCCACCCACCCCCCACACCACGGCAGACCCCACCTCTCCCACTTCATGCCTTCCTGCACCTGGCCCTGGGGCTGGAGCAGCACATGAAATCAGTGTGTTGCCAGGCTCCAGTGTCCTATGGGCTCTGGTGGGGACTGCTCTCCTTGGCAAGATGAAGAGCTGCCAGAACAGAGCACGCCCCAGTTCTGCCCTTTAACTAGGCAGGAGCCAGTTTGCGGAAAGCACAGAGCACGGACCGGAGCGTTTCCGGCAAACGGCCATCCGGCTGTCTCCCAGGCTCTTTCTGTCAGCATTTTCACAGGAAACACCTTTTTCCTGCATGGTGACCTGGAGGAGGTCAGGAGGTTCATTCAGTCCATGGGGAGACTCCTAGCTACAAGGGGAGGAGGGAGGGCAGGGCACTTCCAGGCGCTGGCCTGGACTTTTACCTCCTCACAGAGCAGGAGCCGAGGGAACAACAAATCCAAACAACCAAAACCAGCTCTATCCCGGCATAGTGGATGGGGGCTGGAACATGGTCTGAGGGCTCTGCTCTGCCCCAGAGGGGTGACCAGGTAAAGCAGTGCTGGCTGGACTCCTGCAGCCTCCAAAGTTGATCCCTGGCAGGGTTCCCAAGGAAAAAGGAGCACGGAGCAGTGTGGTAGGCTCAAGACCATGGAGAGCAGAGCTGGCAAAACCATTAGCTCCTGCCTGGGCCATGTCTTCAACCAGGGGAGGGCTGTTCTTTACTGGAGATTTCTTAGTGCTGTGTGCAGTATGGTTTTCAGTCTCCCGAGGGGTGGGTGGGGGTCTCCCACCCCTCCCTCTGGACACTACCAGTCCAGTCAACCAGGGAGTCCCTACAAGAGCAAGAAGAAAGCACAGGCCATGCCAGGCGCTTTGAGCAACACTCAAAGGATTTATTTCTGGTGCTGATCTCAATTCTAAAGCCAGACAGTAATATACCCAAGAGAGATCCCCATCGCCCCAATAATAGAGAAACTCCCAAAGACTAAAACACCTCCATTTCCTGAGCACTCGCCAGTGCCATGCACTAGTCACTGTTACATGTTCCTAGCGAAACACAGAAGAGCCCTGGCCAGAGGCTCTATTGCACCTTTTCTCTGGGGTCAGTGTATTGCAGTGTCCTGCCGTGAGGTCATGAAGCAAATACATCTACCGAGCCATAGTTTGGGTACATTTGTGCTAGAAAAATTGGTGCTTGCCTGAGAGCAGCAGCCAGCAATGAGGAAGTTGAGCTGCAAGTGCAGCCTGGCTGCAGCTGCAGGTGCTGGCTGGGGCAGCCCAGCTGGGGTGAGAATAAGTGCTGGCCACAGTGGCCAAGGCATGAGCGCTGGTGGAGCATGGGTGATGGCTGGGGCAGCTGGGGCACAAGCACAGGTAAGGCGCAGACTTAGGAGGGTGGCCAAGAGAGAGCATGGCCAAGCACTGGCTGGGGTGGCCGAGCCGCGAGCGCAGAGACGGTATGGGCATTGGCTGAGGCAGCTGAGGCGTGAGCACAGGTGCAGTGCAGGCATTGGTTGGGGCAGCCAAGCCACAAGCAGATGGGGAGTGGACATTCAACAGGGGCTGAGCTGCAAGTGCAGACGGGGCACAGGCATTCGATGGGGGCTGAGCCACAGGCATGGATGGGGTACAGGCATTTGATGGGGCCAAGCTGCAAGTGTGAATGGAGCCTGGGCATTGACTGGGGCATCTGAACTGCAAACACAGATGAGGTGTGGGAATTGGCTGTGGCCACAGCCATCTAACCCTACACACATCAGGCTTTCACTGTGTCTTGTGCAGCTGCATCTCCAGGGCTGACTGCTGCGATGGGGGACCAATGTTTCTAATGGAGCTGAGGCTACTGAGCCTCCATGAAACTGTCTCTGAGAGAGGGGCTGGGAGGGGCAGGTGCTGCTGATGGGCCATAGGCTGGCATCCTGCTCAGCTGAGGTCAGGGAGGAGGCACCACTCTGTCAGGGGAGCCATGTGTGGGTTTGTTCTCTTCCTCCTGCTCAAAATGCACATCCTGGGAGTCAATGATTTCCCACACTCCTGAGCAGCCTGGGTTGGGGGGGTCTTTGCTGCTGCTGTGATACCACAGACCAAAACTGCAGGGAAAGCAGAAAGAGAGTGGATGAGCAGGGGCAGTGAACTTCCCACGAGAGAGCGACATCCCCAAAGCTGCTGTCAGAACCACTGTCCATTGGAGACACCTGGCAGCACCAGGGACAGGTTCATCCATGAACACCTGGGGCCAGTACATAACGTGAGGGGCCCTGTCATAATCTGGGAGCAGCAGCTTTGCTAAGACGGTGCTTAAGTGTGTCCCTCAGCTAGATTTCATTTTTTTAATATTTTGCCAGGTCTGTGACCCCCCCCCCCCACTCACCTACACACATACTTTAAGCACTGCCTGGCACTCCAGAACCTGTGTGATACAGGCTGGGACTGTCTTGTGGCATCATTGACCCTGGAGGAGGCAGCAAATCACACTAGGGCTTGAGAATCAGAATGGCAAGCCTGGAGCAGGCCTCTCAGAGCACTTGACACACACACCAGCCCCTGATGCAGTGTGTGTGCACAAGCCACTGGCTCCTCCATACGAAGGTGCCAACTCTTCAGGGCAGGGACTGCACCTCCTCATACAGTGCTCAGCACACTGTTCTCAACAGATAAAGCCTCACAGGTGCTGTAGTCATTTATAATGCCCTACGGCAGTGGTCCCCAAATTTTTGAGAACTGTGCCCGCCCTTAACCCTCTCCACCCCTCTCCCCCCGTGGCCATGGCTCCGGGGGGGGGACAGGGGTAAGGGGCCTGAGACTGGGGCCGCAGCTGGGATTGGGTCTGGGGCCAGGAGCGAGGCCAGGAACTGAGCCACAGCCAGGGGGTGAAGCTGGGGGGAGGGGGGAATCGGAGCCGCAGCTGAGCTGCTGTGGGGGCCGGCAGCCAGATGCAGCTCTGCTCCCGGTCCCACCCCCGCCCCCAGCCTTGGCCCTGGGTGGGAACAGAGCCACTGCAGGGGCCAAGGCTAGGGGCAGGAGCAGAGCCGCAGCCAAGCCCCCAGCTGAGTGTGGAGCCATGCCAAGGCTGGGGATGGGGCCAAGTGCAGGGCATGGCTGGGGGTGGGGCCATAGCAGAGCTGAGGTGGGTAGGGAGGGATGGCACTCCCTCCCCACCCCCTATGGGGGCTGGCCCAGACCCGCCGTGCCCCTGGAAGGTCCCTGGGGGGGGCACACCCCACACTTTGGGGACCTCTGCCATAAGGGCTAATTATTCCTCTAACCATACGAATACCTCCTCAAATCAGTACATCGGATGCAAACTTACAAGCTCTTGATTTTGGATTCACGTGGCTGAGAGTCCACACAATCTGCACTCTCATCTTCATCACTAGGGTGCAAAAGAGCAGAGAAATGGTGAGTCAGAAACCCTCTGACCTGCTTACTTATGCTTGATACCAAATCAGTAGAAAGGAGATTGCCAGATCCCCCTACCCAAACCACAAATAATACGCATATGGGGGAGAGGAGGGCAACAGCCCTATCACACAAATCATCATGGGAATCCTGCCCAGCGCAAAGGATACCCATAGCCAGATTCAGCTCCAGAAGGGTTTGATTTTTGTAAGCTGTTCCCTAGAAAACCCCACAGCGTGTCCAGCATCGGACATTGCCTTGTGGATACAGTGCAGAACTGAGGCCCTGACCATGTGTGCCCAGTGCAGATCCCAGGGCACTCTGCAAGAGTAAAGGTGTTGGATGTGATCCAGGATCCTGGCCAAGTTCCAAAGAGCAATCACCTTCTGCCTCCTCCCTCCCACATGTTCAGCTGGACAAGGATTCTCCTTCATTTTCTGCCCTAAACAGGTGAGCAGGGCTGCTACATGGCTGTTAAATAGCTACTGCAGTTTCAGTATTTGAAAGAACTAGAGATCTCCTGGGTCCCATCCAGTCCATTTCTTGAAGCCAGGGCAGGATTGTTCCCTACAGTCTAGGGTCTCTAGCAACAGAGCTTCCACTGCCTCCCTTGAGGGACCATGCCATAGCCCAATACTTCTTATTGACCCGGAGGTTCTTCTTGCCATTAAGCCTATGTTTTTTGCCCTTAGTTATTCTTCTCCCCTGATTCCTAGCTACTCCACCTTCTACCACCTTAAATAATCCCCAGAAGTTCATCAGGGATGGGAAGAGTCAGGAACTGCTCTTTCCTTTTTGGAAGGACTGTGCTGCGTTTTCCCGTCTCCAGGTTATTTCTCGAAATGAACAGTCAGCAGCACCATTGTTCCCCTCTCAGCAATGGCTGCGTGTCAGTGGTGGGTACAGAGATTCTTTTCCAAGTTTCATACAGAATCACAATTTAGAGTCAGCACAATTACGCTCAGTGCTCTTCACCTGCAAAGCACTTTGCAAACATTAACTACTTCATCTCCAGAGTGCCTCCGAGAGCAAAGCACTTTCAGACTCTTCAGTGTTCACATTGCTGTATAGATGGTCACAATGTTTTTATTTTTAAATATTTAAACACATGTAAGCAAATGAGCCAGACACACACATTCCTCCCCAGAAGCTTAGACCAGGCACAGCTTTGCATTTTCAGCACCTGGGCAGTTTGGCTCTAGGGTGACTGAGGTTCAAGTAGCTAAAATGGCCTTCCCATGATCCCTGTAAGTGGCTCACCCCAGAGCAGAAGCCAGTGTCCTCCTAGTCACCAATCCTTTCTTTTAACCACTCCACACACACACACACCCCAGCTTTCTACTAGCTGAGCCAGCTGAACAGGAGTGACTCCAAGGCCCAATCCCTCACTACCTGGACTGCCCTGTGATGGCCGGTAAGGCACCAGCACACCTCCTTCCTTGGTGAGCTGGAGAAATTCTGAAGAAATTTTCACCATTATTAGTGTGACACTAGCAGGCGAGATGCCAGCTCTTGCCCAGGCTGCAGGCATTAGCTAAGGACTGATGACAACCTCATAACTGGAGACCAGACCAGGTCACCTATATGTTAGTTGTGCTCTAAATAGGGATTAGTTTTATAAGAATGTATTTAGTTTAGACTCTATTAAATGCTTGTATGTTGCTGCATGTATTAATCTCACTTATAATAGCTATAGCCCCTGTTATAAGGTAATATTTAATATGGGGGAGAGATTCTGTAACTGTAAAAATGTTTGCTCTGAAACTGTAGCCCCCCACCTCCGTCCAGTCAGGAGAGAAACATTAGCAACTGTGAAATACTAGGTTTCAGAGTAGCAGCCGTGTTAGTCTGTATCCGCAAAAAGAACAGGAGTACTTGTGGCACCTTAGAGACTAACAAATTTGTTAGAGCATAAGCTTTCGTGGGCTACAGCCCACTTCTTATATTCATCCGAAGAAGTGGGCTGTAGCCCACGAAAGCTTATGCTCTAATAAATTTGTTAGTCTCTAAGGTGCCACAAGTACTCCTGTTCTTTTTGTGAAATACTAGTTTGCCACAGGAGGTGTTATCTCCAGCCTAACAAAAGAAGGCCCATAGCATAGATACCAGCCAAACCATGGTGGACCATCAGAGGATAAAAGACTTTGTGGATTGTTCCCCCACACCCATGAAGGGGAGACAAACTCTTCTCATCATGTTGAACTCTGGGGGACAGGAATAAAAATCCCTGACAGGAAGAAACTGCATCTTTTGGCTGTTTGAACTCTGAAGGGCCAGAGACTCTAAACTAAAGCCAAAGATCCCCAGAGGCTGCCACCTGGGTCTGCCTTGAAAGACATTTTGAAAAGAGGTCACTACAACTCTGTCACGTTTAGGATTTAGATGGTAACTCATTTGCATGTATACATTTGCTTGTTTTAACCTGTAAATAACTCTCTTCCTTTTTTCTTGTTAATAAACCTTTAGATCGTTTATTACAGGATTGGCTATAGGCCTTTGTCTTTGGGGTAGGATCAAGAGTACCAGTTAATCTAGGTAAACAACTGGTCTCTCAGGACTGGAAGCAACCTAAAGTGGTGTGATTTTTGGTGTAAGTGACCATAAGTCCAGTTTGTCTGGATGGCAAGATCGACTGGAGAGGGTAAGGGGACTTTTTGTGACTCCATAGTAAGACTTTTATAGTGATCCAGTTCACATTTGTTACTGGCTTGGTAAAATTGCACTATAGAACACACCACCAGTTTGGGGTGTCTGCCCTGATATAGGCACTCTCAGTCATGAACCATTCCAGACACCATGATATTTGGCAGATTCTGCTTCCCTGGAGTCAGCTCTGCAGGGTTCCTTAGTATAGATGGGCCTCTGTTTGCAATGATGAGAGCTGCTCTGTGCAGGGTTCAATCACACAGTACTGAAAACGTCAGCAGCTCAACTGCACCGGGGTTCCCACTGCTACTAGCAGGGCCCAATACAGCATCATGGGGGTCCGTAGGAGTAGGAAAGGAGAGCTATGTTGGGGTTCTCAGCAGCATCCACACTTGAAAATCCCGCTCTCAGTGACTGTTTCAAAGGTCTACACTGACAGCAAAGGTGTGAGTGCAGCATGACATACCTGTGTTAGCTTTCCTCTAGCTGGCACAGCTAACCCTGGCAGTGAAAAGGGGGCAGCATAGGCTTCAGCACTTACTAACCACCAGAATACAAGTGCAGTGAGGAGCCCGGGCACGGACTCTGGTTGCTAGCTTATGATATCACAGCTTCGCTACTATTTTAACACCTGTTAGCTAGATCAAAGCTGGGGTGGGGGAAGATGCCTATCTGTGTTACAATCACATCTTCACTTGCAGCATGGGGGTACCTTTAACGGCTAAGTCTCCTTGCTTTTCAGTGGGACAAGTGATCCATCCCCTGTCGCCCATTCCCAGCTTCTGGCAAACAGAGGCTAGGGACGCCATTGATGGACCTATCCTCCATGAACTTATCTAGTTCTTTTTTGAACCCTGTTATGGTCTTGGCCTTCATAACATCCCCTGGCAAGGAGTTCCACAGGTTGACTATGCATTGTGTGAAGAAATACTTTCTTTTATTTGTTTTAAACCTGCTGCCTATTAATTTCAATTGGTGACTCCTAGTTCTTGTGTTATGAGAAGTAATAAACAACACTTCCTTATCTACTTTCTCTACACCAGTCATGATTTTATAGACTCCAATCATATCTCCCCTTCGCTATCTCTTTTCCAAGCTAAAAAGTCCCAGTCTTATTAATCTCTCCTCATACGGAAACCGTTCCATACCCCTAATCATTTTTGTTGCCCTTTTCTGAACCTTTTCCAATTCCAATATATCTTTTTTGAGATGGGGCAACCACATCTGCACACAGTATTCAAGATGTGAGCATACCATGGATTTATATAGAGGCAACATGATATTTTCTGTCCTATTATCTATCCCTTTCTTAATTATTCTCAGCATTGTTTGCTTTTTTGACTGCCACTGCACAGTGAGTGGATGTTTCCAGAGAGCTATCCACCATGACTCCAAGATCTCTTTCTTGAGTGGTAACAGCTAATTTAGACCCCATCATTTTATATGTATAGTTGGGATTATACTTTCCAATGTGCATTACCTTTGCATTTATCAACATTAAGTTTCATCTGCTAGTTTGTTGCCCAGTCACCCAGTTTTGAGAGATCCTTTTGTAGCTCTTCACAGTCTGCCTGGGTCTTAACTATCTTTAGTAATTTTGTAACAGCTGCAATTTTTGCCACCTCACTGTTTACCTCTTTTTCTGATCATTTATGAATATATTGAATAGGACTGGTCCCCATACAGACCCCTGGGGGACACCACTATTTACCTCTCTCCGTTCTGAAAACTGACCATTTATTCCTACCCTTTGTTTCCTATCTTTTAACCAGTTACCTATCCATGAGAGAACCTTCCCTCTTATCACATGACCGCTTACTTTGCTTAAGAGCCTTTGGTGAGGGACCTTGTCAAAGGCTTTCTGAAAATCTAAGTACACTATATCCACTGGATCCCCTTAGTCCACATGCTTGTTGACCCCCTCAGAGAATTCTAGTAGATTGGTAAGGCATGATTTCCCTTTACTAAAACCATGTTGACGCTTCCTCAACAAATTCTGTTCATCTATATGTCTGACAATATTGTTCTTTAGTATGGTTTCAACCAGTTTGCCCGGTACTGAAGTCAGGCTTACAGGCCTGTAATTGCCAGGATCACCTCTGGAGCCCTTTTTAAAAATTGGCGTCACATTAGTTATCCTCCAGTCATCTGATACAGAAGCTGATTTAAATGATAGGTTACAAACTAGAGTTAGTAGTTCTGCAATTTCACATTTGAGTTCATTCAGAACTCTTGGGTGATACCATCTGATCCTGGTGACTTATTGCTGTTTAATTTATCAATTTGTTCCAAAACCACCTCTAATGATACCTCAATCTGGGACAGTTCCTCAGATCTCTCACCTAAAAAGAATGGCTCGGTACAGTTCAGTCTGCAGGGGGTAGAAGGCTCCCTTTCCCCCACTGGCCATGACAATGCAGAGCCACAGAACAGAGAGGGAAGGGCTCTTTGCTAGTGGAGATAAGTGGGGCAGGGGTGCTGCTGACACCAAGACCAGGCCTTGGCAGGAGAAAGATTAGCTCACACACTGCAGAGCACAGCTTCATGGTCAGCATAGGCAGGGACAGACCGCATCACGCAGCCCTGCTCATGGGAGGGTCCGACCAGGGCTTGCTCATGACAATGATCATAGTGGTAGGGGCAGCTGTGGATGCTAACTTGATGGGTAACCATCCCATTCAAAAAGTAATAACTCTAGTCAAAGGAAGAGCCGGGGCTAGCCAAATCCCAGAGGCTGCAGAGATTAGGAACCAGCAGCCTGCCATATTCAGCCAAGACACAGGCTTTGGAGTCCATACTAGGTTTGTTAGGGCAGGTCAATAGCCCAGCCGCTACTCGAGAGGCTGTTAGGGACACAGATATGCTAACCCTAGGCTATTGTTAGCCCTCATAGGGCTCTGGGGGTAGCTGCTGCTTCCCTATTTATTAAAGGATAAGATTCCAACACTACAGGGGTGGCTAAGCAGGCTGCAGGGAAGGGTATGCATGCAGCCAGAAAAACTCTTTCTTGCTTTGCCAGAGACCTGGCCAGGGCTAACCCCCACTCTGTACCCAGTCACTGGGGGACTCCCCCTTTAGACCTGCATTAGGAAAAGCCACACTCACCCTACAGTACCCCATGCTGAGTTTTCAGCAGGAAAAGGTGTTAACTTGCATTAAGAACACATGAGGTAAATCCTACCAAAGAGGAGGCAGCTTGTATTTTCATGAGTGCAGATGTTGATTTAAAGCCTATGGGGGAGCCAGGGGTTGACCTTGACCTATTAATTCAATGAGCACTATGAGCTGCTTTGTCTTTGCTAGGATTTCACCAGTTAACTGGAGCTAGAACACACTTTCTCCCTGGTGAAGAGAAGGCCTTCGCCTACACAACCTCAGAGGCTTAACATGTAGGTTCTAGTCCCCCATGACAAATGTTTGTTCCAGGGCACAGATAAGGCTGTAGGCAAGTCTCTGCTTCCTTACATCTGGTCACTCCCTACTGGGAGTCTAGTCCCCATGGGCACTATGATGCTTCCTTCCATCATGTGCAGTTATGTTAGGATGTTGGCTTCTCCCTTCCCCTCTGTGGGTCTCTCCCCCAAGCCAAGAGTCACCCCTCTGCAGAAGAGGGTAAGGGAACAGCAGTTATCAAAGCCCTGTAGAAAAGCTAGGCCCATTTCAGATCTTTATTCAAGACAGTTTAAAAAACATTGAGCTGCATTCCACACACACCCCAGCCAGTCCGTTTTGGGGTGATGAGGACGCAGCCTGCAGAGCATGGAGCTGGAGTTATGGACAGTTTACAACAGGTACTCATGAGTCGCTCTGTACTTGCAGGAGTGGGTGCTACTCCCGTGAATCCTGCAAACCCTCCATGGAACATCCCAGTTGCCATCTTCAATACCACCCCTCAGGACAGCTTCTGACAGCATCATGCAGGACCCTGCTCATTGGCCAGTCCTTCCCAGCACTTCTGGCTGCCCCAGCCTCACACCCCCTTCACCAGACTCCACTGCAGCAATGGGTGGTGTCCAACAGCCCAGCAGGCCACATACGACCCAGTGACAATGAAACATATTGAGTGCCCTGTGATTAGGAGTTTCTGGTGCCCAGGCATGGTGATACCAGGGACTCCTGTGCTGCGCAGCAATGCTCCTCCTTGAGTCCCAGCTGGCGCGCGAGGCAGGTACTGGAGGCCCTTCCCAGGCAGAGGCAGTTCTCTCCTTCCTTCTGAGCAGCAGGAGAGGTGTCGTACCATGGCCGCCAACGTCAATCCAGTTGTGGAATGAGCAGGAGCTACCCCAGCCCGAGCACCCAGGCCCCTGCAGCCAGCTGCAGACTCACCTGCTCGCTGGCTCCTCCACAGTCCCCAACATCTTGGCTCGGATTTTTTTCCGCTGTTTTTTGATGGTGGATTTCATGGCATCCAGCAGGAAGCTTGGGATTCGCTCATCATTCAGCAGCTCCCTGGGGAAACAAACAAGCCAGTGCACAAAAGGGCTGGGAGACACCCAACTCCACAGCCTCCTGGGAGCAGGCAAGGAACATCCCACAACTAGTGTGACCTCTCCAGGGCTCCCAGTCTTCAGCAGAGACAGGAACAGTCACCCCCTCACCTGAGTGTACCTCAATCCGGGCACAGAGGAATTCGATCCCAGACAGGTCATCCTGTAGGCCTCTCAGCCCAGGCAGGGTGAGATGAGAGACTAGCACATCCCCCATCCCTGGGGAGCGAGGGGCAGCAGGGCAAGGTGTAAGGACTCCAGTCAGAGACCTTAACCTAGACCATCTACAGCCACACAATTCACCCCTGCCATGGGTTGGGGGTGGGGCCTGTGAATCCACCTCGAGGGTGCCCAACCTGCTGGGTGAAGCAAAAGGGAAGGGTCAATCCCTCCACTCCCCCAGGGCCCTGGGTCTAGTTGCCCAGGGTTACAACCATCTCAAGGCAGTCCAGCACTCAAATGCCAGTGCTGCAAATCAGAACCTTAGTCCATCTGGATGGCACAGATGCAGCCCACCAGGGCCAAGGGACCCCCGCAGCAGAAGGGGAAGGTGTTTTGTTCTTTCTTGAAGTGAATGTGGTTCTGGTCACCCACGAACATGCTTCCCCTTTCCCTATAATCAGGCTGCTCTACGTGTGCTGGATGGTGCCCTCTCCCACGCTCTGTGGTCCTGCAACATCCCTAGAGGTGCTCGCTGTCTGTGGAGACTTCCCTACAGTCAGTGCCATGCCCCACAACCTCCAGTCTGATGCAGGGCTGTGGGCATGCCAGCTCTCTGCCTGCTGCAATGCTCACCGTTGGTAATAGGCCAGCTCCTCCTGCACCAAGAACAGACTGGTCTTGAGCTCATTCCGCTCCTGCAGGATTTGCTTCAACTCTTCTTTACAGAAGCAGCTCGGAGCAGAGTTCCTCCCCCAGTCTTGGTGCTGCAGCTCCTCCACGGGTGCTGCTGCTCCATCCTAGGGATTCAAAGAGAGGGAAAAGCTGAGCAGAACCTGGGAAGACAGGTAAGTCAGTGCAAAGGCCCTGGCAGACCATCTTGCTACAAACAGGGTACAAGCCAGGTGAGGAAGCTTGCTTAAGATGCCACAGGGTCCAGGGGAGATGCCACTGCTGACGAGAGTCAGGTGCAGATGGGGGAGCACATGCAAGACAGTCTCCTTCCCCTTGCGATCACTGATTAGCTATAGAACTAACATATAGCTAGACTTCATTAGCTAGGTATATAACAAATCTGGGCTCTAGTCTAAAGCTGGGATATTTTAAAGCGAACAATGTTTGGTTTTCCAGCATCTATCTAAAATGTAGAGAATCTCTGGTTGCGAAGTGGTCTCATGTGCATCACACCTAGCCATCAGGGTTTTCTTGAAACTCCCTCTCTGCCTCCTCTCCTTCACAAATACACACTGACAGCTTGAGATAGAGCAGACGCTGCTCTGGCCAGCACAGCTCTTCAGAGGTCAGGAGGATTCTTGTCCATGTCTCTGTATCGGAGGGTCTCAAGGATAAAGTTTACAAAGAGGCAGTGATGTGCACAACCACACAACGCCATCTCATGTGAGAGCCATCTCATAAGGACACTGGACTCGATTCTTTACTGTTTACGTCCATTTGAAGACCATGAAATCCAGTGGGGTATGGGGAGAACAGAGGGGAGTTCACCTCACTCTGCTGCATCACAAGCCTGTCCCAATAAGGCCCCACTCCCTCTCCTGAGGGGCAGGAAAGGTGACCATTAAGTCCAAGGCAAAATTCTAATGAGAAGCTATTAATAGGGAAATTGGTTAGCTCATAGAGGGCTAAATATTAACTCTAGGAAACCGTTTCCACAACAGAGTTTAGACATGGTCTGCGATTCCCAAGATGACCACCGATGCTTCTTAAAGATAGGTGTGTTTGTTTCCCTCCAGCACCCTAGGATATCATCAGATTTTAATGCTTTTTCAGTTTCTCCAGAATTCTTGGGTATGAGCCATCTGGGCCTGGTGACCTGTCCTTAACTGTATCAATTTGTTCCAGTAGTTCTTCTGATACATAGGTCTCTAATAGCACCTCTACTTTACTACCTGAAAAGAATAGGCCTGGGGCAGATATCTTGCCAGCATCGTCTGTGGTGAGGACTAAAGCAAACAAGTCACTTTATCACTGCAATATCCTTACCTTCCTTAACTCCTCCTTTTACTCCCTGCTAAAGCAGCAGACCCACTGATTCTCTCACAGGCTTCCTGACACCAACATCAGTCTTTGGCTAAGCCCTGAAGTTTAGAGACTTAGAGCGCATGCAATGATCATTCTGACACATCCTGACCCATTAGTGATTTACTGCAGCTTCATAAAGTGGCTAAATTTATTCTGCACTAGAGATTCCCCAGAGAATGGATATTGCAGGGCTCTGACTCACTCACCATACTGAGCCTGGGGGATGCTCCAGATGCAGCCCTAGTTAGTCTGTCAATTTCCCTCCGATTTTCCAGCACCATGGTCTCCAAATCCTCCTTCTTCTCGAGAGAACTCTTGAGCTGAACCTGGACCACAGCCAGTTTATGACGCAGGTCCTCATTCATGGACATGAAACGATTTAATTGCTCCTGCAGCTGAGAAACCAGATACAGGCAAGTGTGAGACAGCTGTGCATACAGCTGCAAGCTCTGCTCTCGCACAGGGACACACAAGTGTGCGCAAGGCCACAGGCCACTCCCAGGAAAGGCAGAGGGGTATGGGCACATATAGGTGCTCAGATACTACAGTGCTGAGGATGGTATAAGAATCTATATAAAAATAATCTGCTCTTATAGCAAACACTTTGGCACATATTACAGGGAGACAATGGTGTGTGTAAGAACAGATCACATAGCATGGCTCCCCCACCCTCACAGCACTGGAATAAGCCACAGGCACTCTGCCTCTTACCGCCTCTGTGTCATGGTTCTTGCAGACTATCTCATGGGCTTGGGCCCGAATCTCATCCCTCTGCTTGTCCACCACCTCCTTCAACCGCAGCATCACTTCTCTCTCCTTCCGTAAAGTGCTGTCTAAAACCCAACACCAAGAGATCAGTTGCAGCTCTGCCCTCCTGCGGAGCTCCATGCTTACAGACATGGCTACTCTAGAGAGTTTCACCGAACCCCCCTCCTGCACCATTGCCAACACTGTCTCAGCTGCATTGATGTTCGCAATGCTGGCAGCTCCAGAGTAAATGGGCTCCTGCCTCCCACAGCCATTTTATGTAGCACATGCTAGACAGGCTGCCAATAGGGTTAGATGACAAATTTCTGAGAATGGCTGCTGGAGCTAGAGCCATCCACACTGGGGCTCCCAATGTGGCTAACCCTCGTGAGCCTGAGCCAGGGCTAGCTACCAGGGAGTCTGCAAGGTCCTCTACTGAAAGTGAGGCCATAGTATCTGCTGCTGGAGTAATTCACAGATTAAGGCCAGAAGGGACCATTATGGTAATCTGGTTTTAACCCCCCCACCATCACCTGCATAACACAGGCCAAAGCATTGTAAACACCCTCCCCTCATCTCTTCCCTATGAAGGAGCCAGACTGCCCCCACACCATGCATCATTACAAAGTGACTTCTGCCTCCACTGGGTGATTTTCTCAAGCACCAGTGAAAGATGGCAGCTGAACTGTGACCACAGCCTCAGCAACTCCTTCCTTTCCCCCTTCAGAAGCTGACATTACTGGCATTGCCCAGTTAAATAACCAATTTACAGAATCTAGAGATCACAGAGACTCTCAGATCACCCACCCTCAGGGTATACACCTTCTTGGTATTATCCAAATATTTCCCCCTTTATTTCCTCCCATTGCTCCTTGTACTACCCTCCCACAGCACCCTGAATGCCTCCTCCCTGGTGCGCCCCCATGTTACATGGATCTAACTCCCAGTGGGCCCTTCTAGTCCCCAGCCACTTAGTTGGTCCTCTCCTAGCTTCTTTTCTCTCACCCACTGTATCTTTCTTACATTGGGGTACTCAGCAGAGAACATGCCCTTCCACACTCCACCTGGAGGTGCAGAGCAAGACCATCTCCTCCATGACAGGCCAGTCAACACTACACTCACCATTCTTCTGCATTGTCACATTGCCAACTCCTTCCTGACCCTAACCAGGCAGGTAGACAGCAGGGACGGACATCACTGAGGCCTCCTGCTAATTTATATGTTAAAGGCTGCCAACCGTGCATGCAGCCAGCCCATATAACACCACCTTCCCCTCACAGTTACCGTTGTCCTCACTGTTTCTTTAAACACACTTATTACTTCTTTCTTTAAGCTGTAAGCTCTTTGGAGCAGGAACCATTTCTTACTATGGATCCAGGCATAGTGGGGTCTTAATTCAATTAGCTCCCACCAGCTCCAATTTGGTAGTAACAGCCACCACCTCTGTGACTCCAATTTCAAGTGCATTGCAGTAGAGAAGCAGGCCCTCTGCTAAGTCACGCTAGTAGCTGCTTCCTCTTGTACTATTACTCTATTTCTTCTTTTTACTTACAATTTTAAGAGTTGGTTAGTTTAGATTCTGACTTACTCATCAATTACTAGACTCCCTGGTCACACAAAGGGTGGCTTTACCAAAGGAAATACAGTCAACCACCCACACTGAAAGATGCAACTGAAACAAACAAGCTAGTATGAACAAGGGTAAAATTCCCAAACAGTAGCTGAAGCTTCTTGGGCAAGGGACAATAGTCCAGGAGTACATTCAGTGCATAGCTACTACAGTGATGGGTGCTCTGGAGCTATCCATGATAGAGGGACACTCATTCTGAGCTTAACATGTCCGATCCTAAGGGTAGGTCTACACTGCAAAGTTGTCGACAAAACTTTTGTCTTTCACAGGTACTTAAAAAGCCCCCCCCGCGAAAGACAAAAGTTTGCCAATGCAAGTGGAAGTGTGAACGCGGCTCCTGCCGACAAAGAGCATTTACACACGCCGACTTTTAGCGACAAGGCTGTCGACACAGTCTTGTCACGAAAAGCTGGGTGGTGTAAACAAGCCCTAAGGAGGATTTGACACGAATACCTCAGTTAGGGAAAAGGTAGAAGTAGCTCCAACCTCTGACTAGAAACCACTTCCCCAAAGTGCAGGCAGAACAGCTCTTGAAACAAGACATGAAAGGGACAGGTTGGGCTGTGTTTTAAAATACAAATTTTACATTTGTAAAAGACAGGCAGATTCATACAACCACCTCCTGAATAACTTAAGGGGAAGAATGTCTTGTGGTTGAGGCAGCAGCTGGGACCCTGCAGACTTAGGTGCTGCTCCCAAGCTCTGCTACATACTTTCTGTGCAGTGGTGGGTAAAAGGTGTGTTTAGTAAGAGATCCTACAACCCATGCACCACTGCTAGCACCTCTGGGAGCCCTAATATAGACAAGGCTTCTAGATAAACTTACTAGAAACTGCCACGCCCAGCCTAGTTCAGAACTCCCCAGTGCTAACACCTGTGCCACTGAACAAGGGGTATTTTTCCTAAGGTCTCTAGTATAGACAGCATTACTCTGTGCCTCAGTTCTCCACCCATGAAGTGGACCACCACCACCCTGCCTCCAAGGCATTACGTGGACCCATTCAGAGTTTGCAGTTGGTCAGAAACCAGAGTAAAGCCTTTACACAAATATAACCAGAGAATCCCAGAGATCACAGTGGCCTGTGAACCAGGGCACTAACTTGATTTCTGTAAGCAAGATATGCGTTCAGATAACTACAGCTTCACCACCCCAGAAGGAACATCACTGCACTGACCCCCAGCAGCAGTGATAGCCGTGGAAGGGATTCAGCAGCAGCTCTCCACCCTCCTTCCCCGGGGACACCCACCTTCCTGGGACTGGCTTTCTGCAAGCTGTGCCAGGAGCTTTTGGTTTTCTTCCTCCAGCTGGGCCAACCGGTTCTGGAGAACATGCTCTTTCCTCTGAGCTTCAGACAGCTTCTGCTCCAGATCCTGAAGGGCAGACCCAGAGAGATCAGCTCCCTCCCTATGCCATGCCGAATCTACTACGCCTTTACTGACGGGGCACCAATGGGGATCATACATGGGGCATACTGCGCCCACGGCCGATTTGCTCTGCAGCCAGACTCCTGTGGCGGTCCTGCTACCCGGGCACAGCTGCCAGCCGAGCTCTGGGAAGCAACCCCCGCAGGACGTCGTGAGCAGCCTCCTGGGAGGCCAGAGGGCTTGGGGAGCAGCCAGACTCTACTCGCCTGGAGAGCTGCCATTCCTGGGGGCTGGGCAGGGAGGGTGTCCCGAGCCTGTCTGCCAGGAGCTGGGACTGGGCGGCAGGGGAGGGGTCGCTGCAGGACTCCCTCTGGGGCACCAGGCCCTGGGCCGGACCCAGTCTGGCCGCTCTGGGTCGGGTAACAAACCCGCCGGCGAAGGCCCCAACGCCCGCCCCCAGCCGCGGCGCTCGCGCTCACCTCAGCCCCGGGGGCCGCCGCCTCCTCTCGCCGCCGCTCCCCGCGCAGGCTCTGCACCGTCCGCAGCAGCGTCTCGGCCGGGTCGCGGCAGCCGGACTCAGCCCCGGCCGGGCCCGCCAGCGCCTCCAGCAGCTCCAGCAGCCGCACCACCTGCGGCACCAGCCCGGCCACCGCCTCCGGCCCGAAGCGCCCCGAGAGCCGCTGTAGCTCGGCCCCCAGCGCCCCGGCCATGCGGTACACGTGCTCCGGGGCCAGGCGGCCGGCTGGCGTCCGCCACAGCGGCTCCTCCATAGCCCCAGTCCCCCGGGCTCCGGCGGCCTTGAACCCGCGGCGCCGCGCGCGCGCCCGCCCCCGCCCCGTCCCGCCCCCGCGGGGCCGCGCGCAGGGGGGGCCGGTCGGAGCGAGGGAGGGGGAGTTTGCTCCCCCCGCCCAGGGCCCGCGGGGCGGAGCCGGGAGGCCGCCCCGGAGACAGGCGCAGCGCTTCCCCCCGCGCGGCCCTGAGGCGTTCGGGCCGTT